TTCAGACTTAATTTAGTTCATTACTACATCAGTTTAGCTACTCAATTCTTAGTTACCCTGCTATTTGTAATATTGCCTTTTTCTTCAGCTTTCTGGAAACTATCTGTTTTGTCTAAATTTAGATCTTTTTATTTTCTCCAAATTATGATAAAAGAAATGTTCTTATTTGTCGGTACCTGAAAGTAGGAGGTCTCTGCGAGAAAATCAGCAAATCGTTCCTTGTCATGAGGCTATAAGAGGAAGCATTGATATAAGTGCTATTTTACTCCCCTGAAACGTCTCTCGCGACCAAGCTGATTCGATCCGCTTATTGCTGATGTCATAAAACCTATACTCGGCTTTCTCTAATAGTTAGTGCGAATAGGTCTTAACATACTTCATCCAAGAGGCAAAACCCTGAAGTATTGCTTCGTATTTTAAAATGTTTAGGTGATTGTTCTAAATTTTAGATTATCTCCTTCATGCAATGGGATATGTGGGTTTCGAAGCTGTTCCCTCTTTACCACCTGGCATGAAATTTTATATGACGGTCGGTCTGAGGCGATCAGCACTAAACACTTCATATGCATTTGGTGTGGGTTGGCCAACTTCGAAACGGCTTGTCTACCTGGATGGGCAAATTAATCCATATTTTGTTTTCTGAATGCCTGTCCTATAATTATTCAACTCTGAATACCTGGGACAATGCTTTAAGCATGAATTGCTGTGCAAAATGTGTATCACACCTACTTTGCCTCAGACCTGTCCATCTGATTTATTAGGATCTTAGACTATTTACAGAAGAGGAACAGTAAAATTTTAGACGCAGAAAACGTGTAGCTCTTTTATTTAACATTTGTAGCTGATGAATTGTAGGATGTGGTGGGTTGATAATTTCCCTAGTCTCTCTTGAAGCCTTTGCGTGAGTGTTTCTGGCCATTTGAGATGGGATTACCTGTTTTTATATTCCAAATCCTATCCTTTTTACGTAAATGGACCATCGTCGATTCAGAATGGTAACGTTCACATAATCCTTTCATCCTAATGTTTCGCCTTATTTTGTTGGTTCACCCACCAACAGTTTCTCTCAAATTTCTTCTCTCTGGTACCCTCATCCTCTCCTTTTATTAACTTCTTACTACATTGCTCATTAAAGATCTACGATACCCTCCTTTTGGGGACCAGCACATTTGGCTTGTGGCGTGGAAGCATCATCACTGAGCGCAGGTCTCTAGCTTATGACAGGGTGTATAAAATAATGTTGTTTCCTATTAATTTCATTCAATAGATCATATTTTCATCTAAAGCTTCTTTTTTTTCTATCTTGATCTATTTCTTATACACCGGCAGTTATGCCGTACGCTAATCAGTCAGTTGTAACTGTTACGGGCTACACCACTCGCAATCTTAAGTTCGTGGTTGAGGACACCGACTTGAGTGTTGCTAACGCTATTCGACGTGTATGCATTGCCGAGGTTCCGATCCTGGCGATTGATTGGGTCCAGATTGAGGAGAATAATACAATGCTTAATGACGAGTTCATTGCCCAACGCGTTGGTCTTATCCCACTCACTTCGGATGGCGTTGTAGATCAAATGGTATACTCACGTGACTGCGTGTGCACTGACTTTTGTGATCAGTGTTCCGTTCAATTCAATCTGGATGTTAGCTGCACTGACGACGCACCTCGTCACGTGACTAGTGCTGACTTGCTTTCATGCAACCCAGACGTAGAGCCAGTGATGACGCGTGATACGGATGATGCTGGATATGGTGATCAGGTATATTTGTAACTCCAATTTTGCTATATGTATTGACCTTCCTCTCTTTCCCATCCTCATTCTCTTTTGTTAGTTCACTTTATCTTTTTTAATCCTAATTCCACTGATTTATTTGTCTAGCCAGATTTAATAGGGAATATGTATTTTTTGTCATTTGCCGTAGTTTATCACATTTTTGAAATCATGCTTAGCCCGATCCTCCTTTTTAGCACATAATTTATGAGTAGAATATTTTTCTAGCAGAGACAACTCTAAACACACATCGTTTTTCCCTGCATAATAATGGTGTTTTTGCTATCCACACATTGTTTAAAGACTACCTTAAACTTCTTTTTTTAGGAAGCCATTCTTATTGTAAAAATGCGCAAGGGCCAGCGTCTCAAATTACGCGCATTCGCCAAGAAAGGTTTTGCCAAAGAGCACGCAAAGTGGAATCCTACAGCTGGTGTAAGCTTTGAGTACGACCCAGACAACGCACTTCGGCATACCTTTTTGCAGAAGCCGGAAGAGTGGCCCAAGTCAGAGCACTCTATTCTCCCTCCTGATCAGCATCAAGCTCCATATGACCCTTTGCTGAAGGTGGGTTGCTCATGCTAACCATTTTTAGTTACTCGTTTTTAATTGTTAACGGCTGTATTTTATTTATTAAGTTATGTTTTTATGGCTAGTGATAATATATTTCGAGCTTATCTAACGAGTACATTATATCATGCTACCC